CATCTTTTTCAGAAAAAAAAAAAAAAAAAAAAAACAGATTACGCTATTTCAAGAGACTGTAAACAGAACATCGGCCCACTGCATTCAACAGAAATTAATTTACTTCGGTCCTGGCCTTTTGCTTCCTGTTCAAATGGTGCATACAGGGTGCGGGCATTAAAAAAAAAAACGAAAAATGTTCAGTGGGTTTTTATGTTTTATCTCTGACGCATTTTCGCCTCTGCCTTTGTTTCCCCATTCAGCGGAAGAGCTCGCAGATTGAGAACCAGCGAGGCCTGAAAACCCTAGAATTTAATTCCGGCGAATGATGGTGAGAAGAGCTTGTAGATTCCGACACTGACAAACTGGGTTAGGTAAGTCGAACTGGGTTATGGTAGAGAACTTAATTCCTTCTTTAAATGTCTTCTCTAAGTGTCAGCTTTGGACTGTTAGTTTAGATGTACATGAAGTTTCGAAAGTATGATCATTGTTTATTTTGTCCTGTGATTTCCTTCCTTACTGTAACGGATGAATCTTATAGAAGGATTTACTTGTGTATCTGATTTTGCTTGTAACAAAGAGCTTTAGAATATTCATATTGATTTACTTATTCTTCTGTTTCGAGTTTTTGTTTCTGGACTGTAATTTCTTGATTGGGTTTTGGGTTTTCTTTAATTTTTCTTTATGTTCAGTAACGTTCAGATTCTAATCTGCCTTGCTTTATTTTTGTGATTTGTTTCTCTTGTTTGTTGATTTAGTCCCTGTGCTGAAATACTTTGTTTCCCTCCGATTTGATTTAGTTTGATTGATCCTTGCCAGCTGACTTTATATTGCTTGTTCTTTTTGTTGTTGATTTGTTTAATGTCTTAGGGATTGAAAAGGGCTCGTTGTTATGCTGATTAGGAATACTGACTGGTTGAATGTTAGTTTTCTTTTGAATTTTCACCTCAGTTTGTCAAGACTTTAATTCTGAGCACGGGTTTTGTCTCTCAAACTTTACTGCCTTGGGTATGTTTTGTCGAACTTTCTCTGAAAATCATGAAATTTGTTAATTCACTTGTTTTTTGTTTTTCTATGCTTGAGATAGTCTAGAGATTTTAGATTTTAGTCCCTTGTTATGGTTTCTTTGTGACAATTTTATCACAAATCATTAAACCTGGTTTTTGCCCTCACATTCATATAAGAGCTCTTGTTTTGTTAATTCTTACTCTTTTCTTGGTCTGTGGGCATCCTATTTGCCTTGTCATAATTTTTAGCGTCTTACTTCTAAACCATATATCTCTTTTTTTTTTGCTTCTTTTAGTTAGAATTTTATCAACATATCTTTAATTAATAAAATTCTTGTTCAGGTTTGATTAAATTGTAGCTGTGAATGGTGATGGGAAAAATTAGACATAGTCTGTCATTGGATCCAATTAGACATAGCTAGGGTTCAATTCAAAAATTTTGCTAGGAAATCACTGAGATAGAATGAAATGGATGGGAATCTGGAAATCTCGTTGGACAAGCTCCCTGTCAAGCGACTTGAAGCTATTGAAGAAAATGGTGTTGAGCGTTATCCAGTGTAGGCTTTTCCAATTGTGATTCTGTGCTATCTTTTTTTCCTTGCTAATTCATGTTAATTCTGATATTTGTTGCATGTTTAGTGATGTAGGTTATGATGAGAAGCGGGTGTCACTAATAAGGAGGGTTGACTTTGCTTGGGCATTGGAGGATGAAGACGAGAAGGAGAGGAAGAAGAAGCAAAAAAAGAGCTCCAAAGATGCCTCCACCACTTGGCAGTGGCAGAGCATGGTTGAGAACCTCCAACTTGCTCATCAGGAGCTCTCCGTCATCATCGATCTCATTGGCACTGTCAGTTTCATTTGCTCATCTCATTTTATGATAGTCTAAATATGCTATTTTACTTGGATATGTAAATAATCAGTTTCACTTGATTGAACTCAAGCTCATGACAGTTTTTTGCTTTGTTTATTGCCTTTGTGCATTTTCTTCCCTTAAGAATTAGAATTCTAGGACTTCAAATTGATGTTCTTTATTATCATGTCATTACCTTTGCTATCAAATTTGGAAAATTTTCACTTCATATAAAGATCCATCAGTGCTCCTAGTGTGCTAGAAAATTTTATTGAAAAATATGGTTTTCCTTCTGCTTATGTCATGATTTCTGGTGTCATTTTTTCTTGATATGCTGTGATCAAAAGCTTCGAGTGAGGTGCTAGGCTGCAAGGTAGGAAGTGAAAAGAGATTGAAAATTGATGTAGAATGAACTTTGTTTTGTGTTTTAGGTGGAAGCTAATGATGCTGTAACAGTGGCTGGAATGATTAGGCCAAAGAATGAAAATCCGTCTGATCTGGCTGATTACCAAAGAAATAATTTGTCTCATCTAGCTGTATCGGCAGCTACCAAGCTACAATGCTACCGGGTATTCTTCTCCTTCTGGGATGAAGTAATAAATGAACTTAACTCATTCCAAATAATGTTTATTTGTAATAAGACACGGGCAAGTAGCAGCATTGGCTGATGAAACTTGTTCTTTCTTGTTAATATTTATGAAATCATTTTCTAAAATTTGTTATCAAAATTTGCTTTATTTACAGCATCTTGGCAAATACTTCAAGCAATCTGCAAAGGCTTTGGAACAGCAGATTGCTAGGGAAGCAAGATTTTATGGTGCACTGATCAGGTAGGCATGCTGATATAATATTGTAGGCCTTGATAGGCACAATTTCCTTTTTTTTCCTCTCATTCAGAAGAATATTTATTTTTATAAAGTGATTTGTTTTCGTATTCTTGAGTAACCCCTGTCCATCATTAAGTTCAAGAAGCTTTTTTATGTTGATTGATGTCAGAGAGCTGATAACATAATTCCATCTGCCATCTTTTCTGAAATGTGTATAGATTGCAGCAGAACTGGAAAGTTAAACGGCAACGTATGGCGGCTTCAGCTCCTGGAAGCGAAGGTTTCACCATTGATCTTTTTGACAATTCACTGTATGACACAGCACCAATATCTAGGCCATCTTCTCTATCCACCATCAGAATTGAGCATGACTCAGCTGGAATGCTGGCTATTAATTTACCTCGAAATTCATGTCACTCTCTTCATTTTGGTTTTGTTGGCGTTCATTCTGCTTATGGCCCGAAGGTATCAAGTAACATAAAAGCCAGCAGTTTGATTGAGCATCATAGTGGAGACACCATGAAAGAATCTGCAAGTGATGATGAGTGTGTCAAAAAAACACATTCGCTCCTTCGTGAAGTTCATCAAGCAATTTTTGATGAGCAGGTAGACCTTCCTTTTCCTCAGCCCTCTCGCAATGCAATGCCCTTTCATTTGTTTCTATTTTTATTTTCATCTGGTTTGCAGGTGTTCAATATGGTGAATCGTGAAGCATTTAATCAATATTTAGGAGTCAATGTGACTGGCATACGGGAAAATTACCTGCAACTGAGCATAGGACAAGGAACATCTCTGTTCATATCACTTGTGCCATCTGCTAAAGGGGATGACAACGTTGACAGTGTCCATATCAAGGATTTAGAATCTGCAATTGTACCTTTGGACTCATTTATTGATGGTAAGTTAGGGGAAAGAGAGCATGATTCTCCTAAAAGGAAGTTGGATTTCCCAAATCGTATGAGTTGTGAAATTTATCTGGAACAAGTTGTTCATGAACATGCATTTTCAAAGAGAAAGGATAAACCAAATTCAACTGGTACTCAAGCATCTGGTCCATTGAATGATGGATCCAGTCTTCTTGCCCATTTCTGTATGTCAGTTGCTCATAGAATCTTTTCAAACAGAGTTCTTATGGAGCTGGAAAACGTGGTACTTCCCTAATTCCTTTGTGGACTTGGATTAGTAACTGGTTTTGCTTTTCACCCCATTGTTCTTTGTAACAAACTCCATTAAACATGTAGGTTTGTGGTGTGCCATATCTCCAGTTGATGACTCATCCCACTTGGCATTCTCGGACATCTTCATGGACACTCTTTGTGAAGTTTCCACAGTCCATTCTCCATGCAGGCCTCCAATACCAAACATCAGATATCCATGGCGCAAAGAATGCCATAAAGTCACAATTTCGGACTAAGGTGGTGGTAAATGATGACCGCATCAATATTCAAGGGGAAGGTGCTCCTAATGTTGTTGGCTTCTTCAAAAGAAGTTCTGAGGATATATGTTCCATGAACAAATATGACTGTGATTTAGCTGATCTCTCTGTGATAATTCTGCAGCAGGTATGTTGCTACATGTTTTAATTTTAAGTAATTGTTTTATTACATCATACTCTTGGGAAACTTTTATGATGGTTACCATAAACTTGGGTAGCTATAGCATCTCCTAAATATCTAAGCTGAGATCTGATAATTGCTTCTTTAATTAAATTTACTCAGTTAAAATGGAGAGCAGACTAAAATTTAATCTTTAGTGAAGAAGATAAGATGGTATTGACCTGAAAAGGCATGACTTATGTATGATTCACAGGTTTGTGCATTTATTTGTGTAATTGGTTTCTGTGTGCTCCATCTAGTTAGATTCTCAGCCTGGGCACTTTTACATGGTCTGTTGAAGGATCTTAGTGTTCCAATAGTTGGAGAAAAAGGTGTCTATATCTAGGGGGTAGCAGGGGGATGATTAGAGAAGCATGGTAGAAACTAAAGTGTCAAAGAATTTCCTATTTTTCATCATCTGTCTTTGTCAGCACACTGTTAAGCTATTACTGTTCTGTTCATTGTTGTCTGACGTTCCATATTGCCATTTTTCTATTGATCCTCATACTCACGTCACGTCAACAGGTTGCTAGCCAAGTTATTCGTTGGCTTCATGAAGAAGCTCTGATGGTGGGAATAAAAGCAAATCGTGATTTCCTGTGCTTGACTTTTGAGCTAGAACAGGGGGAAACAGTTAGCCTGGTGGCCCACGTGGATCCGGATGATATTCAAGGTTGCATCTCCTGGTGGCTGGTTATGGAGGATGGATTTGCAGAGGAGCGTAAGCTTAATATGGACATGTCCGATGGTAAATCTGAATATAGGAAGTTTTTGGGGCATTTATCGTTGGATATCTTGTACTCAACATTGATGGACTTGGTTAGCCTGTGCAGTGGAGGTGGGAACCATTGAGCCTCTGACTGGGATTTGCCTTAATCATCTGATCTGTTATGGCTGTTTCTATACGAGAATTAACAGAGTAATTTACTTGTAACATCTAATCCTGATTTAATGAACTCGTAAGCATATTTGGTCCCCTTTATTGCCATTTCGATACTGGCCCCACTAACGACTAATCCCGATCTAAGATGATAGGAATTAGGAAGCTGTTTACTTTAGGGCGGGCGTTTGGATGGGCGGGGAAAGTTTCTCCCCCACTCTCTTTTATTTGGATTTTTTAGATTTATTTATGTAGAAAGTTTCTCCCCCCACTTTCTCTTTTATTTGGATTTTTTAGATTTATTTATGTAGTTTCACGTCTTAATGTTATAACAACACAATGAGGGAAAAAATGATGTTTTTAATTTTTTATTTTTCTTGATATAATTTTTATTTAATAAATTTTTTATTGACATGTTTTTAAGGAAAAATGGTTTTCCATTTTCTCTTATATGAGATTTCCTTGATTTTTTCACTCACTTTCTCATAGCGTGTACAATGGAGGTTGATGTTATATCATTATAACTAATATTATTTTATATAAATTTATATTTTAAGTTTTTAAATATTTAAATAAAATACCTAACAAAATATTTTCTCTTTAGTGCATATATTTAAAAATAATTTTTTTAAAAGTCGTATTAATATTATTTTATTTAATTCACTTAACAAAAAATTTGAATTAAAAAAATAAATAAATAGCCTGATGGATCATTTCAAAAATGGCACCATCTGGTTGAGTTAGGCGGTGCAATTCTAATCCCCCACATGAATTTAAAAGGCAAAAATTAAATAAATAAATAAAAAGAGAAAAGAAAGGAAATACAGCCCTCTTTTATAATAGAGTTTTAATAGAACTCCAATT